GAACTGGAACACTCGTTCGAAAGTTTTTTTTTTATTGTTTTCTCCAGTGCTCCGTTACGCAACCCCGACCGGCCGATGAAATAATGTATTCGAAATGCCACACAACGAGAACACGACAGGTCATATAAGAGACCACTTTAGATCTTAAGTTTTGTAAGTTTTTCGCATGCCTCGGTTAAGAAAAATTTCCTCCGGTGCAAAAATGTAGACTCAAATATCCTAGAAAACTTTCAGTATATTATTTTCATTTAGTTTTTAGTACATTAAAATATTACCAAATTACGAAACCAATTCTTTTTTTATTTGATAAATATGTCTTCCATGAAACTGACCTGGGAAGTTGATTTAAAAGAAGTATCAAAAAAGTTAAACATACAGCTATTACTTTTACGAGTATGGCCCACTTCACTTTTTGTTGATCTCTGGTCAATATACACCTCTGACCTCTGAGCAGTTGTAATTATTGATGGTATCGGTTTTAGTGGTTAGAAACCAAAATGTTTATGTTTTTATGTCAGGGGAATAAAATTGAAATTGTGCTTCTACAGCTATGCAATAAATACTTTAAAAAACTAATTCTTAGAATATATATGCAAACTCATATGTGTGATGCTTTATTATTCATAGCTTTGTAATTCATATAATTAATACCAGATATTATACAGGGATTACATTTTTTTTGTTACTGATAAAGAGCATAGTCGAAACAATGGAGTTTATTCTGGTCTTTCTAGATAACGAGATGACGACTGAATGTGCGATAATTAGATAAACGTTAATTAAACAAGCATTATCGTGAATTTACAAAAAAAAAACAAGAAAATATTGTAAGATGAAAAATGGCGTTGTTGAGATGCAACTTTTGCTTGCAAGAATATCGGGAGTCCAATGTTTTAGCCTGTGACTAAGGTCACGAAATAGTGCTGGTTTAAGAGCTTCCGTTTGTTAGACTGGAAAGGATTGCAGAGTGGAGGAGGGTTTTATGCGGTGTGTATGCATGTGCATGTGTGCGTGTTTGTATATATGTATGTGCACGTCTGTGTTGGATATATATCGGCCTTTTGGATCGCGCAATAGCGAGTCTGTGGCTGGGATCGATAGATCCGCGTTCACTGCACCCTGCTATGCAAATAAACCCGATTCACACACACCCACATGCACGACCCGTATTTTATCGTACATTGGAATCGTTTACGTGCTGCATGCTACGACCGTATAGTGTGGAAAAAATGCACGGAAATGAAAGGGTGTGTATATGTTTCCATGCCCTTAACCAAAACTCTGCAAATCATAAATCTGGAAACTAATTCCACAATTTGCATCAGACTCAATTAAACAAATAATATATCTAAGTGAATCTTTTGTAACTAAATCAATTTTAAAAAGAATCCTAAAATCCACATTTATAAGTATATATTACTCCTTATTTAATTTTCTTTTAATTGATTCAAAGTTTGTAAATTATTGCCGGACCAAACTTGATATTTCCGTATAAAACAAGTTAATCGAAATACACAAACAAATCCAATAAAAACAACCCTTCATCGGTCCAACTGAATGTAATATAATTTAGTTTTTTTTAAGAGTAGGAAAACATAAATTATTTTTCTTAAAATCTTAATGATTTTCATTTCTTTACTTGAATATGTACTACTTTACTGCCTTACATTGTATTGTCTGTATTTTATTATATTTGTTGAACTTTTTTCTAGTATATTTATTATATGTAACATAAGATTACAGGTATGTTTATTTTAATGCATTAATCCATACTTGATGCTTCACTGGGTACGAAAGTTTAGCAATTTGTTATTATTTTGATGGTTTTCCTACTTGAGATGGATAAAATATTTAGGTTAAGGATATAAGAAAAAAAATAGAAATATATTTGGATTAAAATTAATTAATTTGACTGATTATTTTTATGTATTTAGGGTGCAATTTATAGTGCGAACAATTAATAAAATTGATTAATCTTTAAAAAACACTTAAATAACGTTATGTGAATCAGAAATAAAACATCATGTATGGACTATGAACAAATAAATCTATTTCATGTTTTTAATCAATGTCTATCACCCAGTAAGTGGAATATTTGTTGACGATGTGAGCAGAGTAACATAGATAAGTGCGTCTGGGCCGATTTAGACAAAGGATTGGATTGTGTAACGCGGCCGTCTGCAAGGAGCATATAAATTATAATATGAATGTACATTATTTTTTGTTGTTGTTGTTGTTATCCGCTCGGACAGATATGCTTGTTGTCATATTTGTATGACACACATATATGGATTGGAAACTGTTTGTTGAGCGCGCGTCCGTTTGTTGATTTATCGAGGTTACGGTCGTTACATTTTGGCGATGTTACGTCAAAGCAAGTTCTTTTATACATTCGGTGACGTGACACGGTTCGATCACGTGCCCCCGGGACACGATCTTTACTCTTTTTTCTTTCTTCCTTTCATTCTGTTACCTCTCTGTCACTCGAGCTCATGTTCCAGCCAATTATCGTCTGGCATTTGAGGCCGATAGCATTCCTTTTTTATTTTTTAAATAAATATTATATATCCGTATCATTTATATACATTCGTTGGAGGATTTCCTTATCTCCGTTTCATAGAGCTATCCGTTCTTCACTTGGCATAACTGTAAACGAGATGTAAATAGTAGCAACAATTGTGGTAAAGGGGAGGAAGAAGATAGTCATGACAAAATCGAGAACCGTTTCTTTTTTTTTGCTGTTATTCTGCATGGATGGGTTGGGTGTGTGTAGTGTCTGCGTTGGAGAGAGCTTTTGTTATTTTTTTTCTTGTTTATTTACGTGATGGTCTGGTCGATCAATAGAGGCGCAATCCTATGGTACGTCACGTCGCATGTTTGTTTATTGATCGGGCTGTGGATTGTCTAAGAAAATACTATTACTATTGGGCGTGCGTCATCATTTATAATGTTCATGAACTTCTCTCTTCTTGGGTCTCGGGAAGGAAGGAGTGGTGAGGAGCTATGATAGCGGGGAGCAGAACGATCGAAAGTGCTCTCTCGACGGTCTGGCTGGTAGCATCGATCCGGCCCCACGTTCAAGAAGTCTCTCCAACTGAGAGAGAGGAGAGGATGGTTGGTGGTGGCGGCGGATCCTAGCTACAGCTGCAGCTGCAATGGTCTGCGCAGAAAAGCGCGTCGATACAGCCGAGCCACGGAAATGCTATGGCACATTGAACGAAAATCAAAACAAAATATTTACACAAAAAAAAACATCAGTATTTTTCTCGCATATTTTGATCATCACACTAGTCATTTATTGTTTTATATTGACCCTTCACATCCCTTATTTATTAATTGTATACTTTCATTAAACCAATAAAGTTGTATATACAATAAATAAATAAAATTTACAAATCAGGATACTTACATCATAAGATCAAAATGAGTCTATGAAATGTATGTTCTAAGTACTAAGAAATTCTCGAAGTAAATGTAAAATCAATACAAACAAATAATAGAACAAGTAATAAGGTGTTATTTAGCAGATTTAGGACCCAAAATTAATATAAACAATAATAAATTCAAAAAAATAGTATTCTTTTCTTAATAAACTTGTTACTTCTTGCATTGTAATGTTCATTGTAAATGTGAATTGTCTCATTTTTCTGTTAATACCGACTCATTTTCGGTGCACCTGTGCTAATTTCGACACAATTTATTATTTCTAAAAAAAATGATATTTTTTTTTTTGTTTTCCTTGGACATCACCTTGCTATGCCACAATTACTTGACAAATGGCTCAATTTTGCAATTACAAATGTCATTAATTATAAAATCATTAATTTACTTCTCGCTTTCGTTTTCAATAAATTTGTAAACATTAATTTAACATAATATATAATAATACATAAGAGAATTAAAATTAAAATATGTTAGTAGTTTATATTGAATTATTACATAGTTTTTTGAACTGAATACTTAGTTAAAAAAATAAACAAAATGTATTTGTGTAATAAAATAGGAAGGGCAGTTGAAAGCAGTCTTTTCGCCCTATATAATGTTATAAGATTAGAAATAGTAATTGTGTGCCAGTAAAGATTATTTTATTGAAATAAAATAAGAAGCGTGAAGGATATTTCACACCTCATGCTTCTTGGTTTCTTTCCATCGATACTTGTACATTTTTTTCATTTTTAACTCACAATAAAAATGGAATTCCTCGCTAAATAAATGCGTTATTTGAAAACAGCAAATACATTTTTAAAATCTATGAAAGCTACTTATCCACTTATTTCAATTATAAAAATGATTGTAACTTATTTTTCTACTAAATATAATTGATTAAATAATAACAATAATTTCATAAAAAGACTTTAAACTTTGCTTGTACATTCTGGTTTCTAAAATTAAATGAGTTAAGAGCCTTTCAAAAAGTTTATAACATAATATCGTTGTTTTAATATATATTTTAAATTTTTTATAATCTATGTTCAAATTCATTTTTGAGGTTTTAAATATGCACGTAATTATAGTAATATAACTTAATCTAGAAAAAAATAACATACTTTATATCATATTTTTACTTGGATTGAATTGTTTTTAATATTTAAAAAATGTAAGTATTATAGTATTGAATGTTTCGTTGTTTTGACTGAGTATATCCATTTAGCCGGGGTTAAATAGTCTCTGGTATATAATAGCGTCGCGTCTGGTTCTAACTCGCCGTTGCGCGTATGCGAGTGATGGCGAGTAAAGCGAGTGGAGGCGAGCGCAGTGAGGAGGATGGGAATATGACAGATCAGTGAACGGGCGAGTCGAGGAGTCGCATATAATGGCCGTGGCCGAATCTGTTGCAGCGCAGCGCGCGCGCAATCTGTGACGTAGCTGACGTTGCCATTGGTCTGCGTTACATTGTGACGTCACCGGGGCGATAATGATTATCGCGGCACGTCCTCGCGCCCCCCTCGTGGCCCGCCGCCCTCGAGCGGGCCGCCCCAACCTCTACAGGCCGGGCCGTGGAGCGGGTTTCGGAGGAACGGCGCAGCCGGCGCGCGTACAACTCGCGTTAGTCTAGTCTAGGCCAGTCCAGTCTAGGTAAGCAGCAGCGACTGCCAGAGTGCTGCTCTTCGTGAATACCCTTGTCTCGTTGCCAGTCGAGTTTTACGCTAGGCAGCAGCGCGGTCGTTCGGATATCTGTATATCCAGAGAGAGAAAGAGAGGTGTTGTGTTTACCGCTACCCAGTATGGCGAGAGTTTCCTTCAGCGTGCGAGTCTAGATTTAAATATTCGACAATCTTACTTAGTGATTCCTGTTTTCTATATACATATATACATCAACTTGTTATAAATATACGTAAATTTTTCCGCTGTGGTTTATTTCCCTGGGTTGTACTAAATAGATGGTGAAAATGTCGGTTATGCAAATGCAGCAGGCGAAGCGTCAGCATTGCTACTTATGTGACCTCCCCCGCATGCCATGGGCAATGGTCCACGATTTCTCAGAGGCGGTGTGCCGGGGCTGTGTCAATTACGAAGGTGCCGATCGCATAGAAGTGGTACTGGATACAGCACGCCAGATGAAGAGAGCGCACAGCTTCCAGGAGCAAAGGTCTGGACATAGCTCGAAGAGCCATCGTAGCTCAGGCAGCGGACACGAGCATCAGAACGGAGATGTTGTCGCTACTTCAAGCAGGCAGCAACCCACGGGAGCCCATCATTCGACGGGTTACAGTTTACACCATGCTCGATCCGCAGGGATGATGCCTGACTTTCAACCTAGCCAACCTCCTCCACCCCCAAGAGGAGCTACGACGATGTCCAGACCTACATTGCAGGAGGCGAGTGCAGAGCACGATCTTGTTGGCCGCCCTCCGGTACGGATACCGACAGCAGCTCATCTGACAGCCGCCCACCACACTTTGCAACCCCATCACCATCCGGTGAGCAACGGCCGACCCACATCAATGCCGCAGCAAGCGCTAAAGCGTGGACTGACGACGACGGAGGACGACGACCATGGCCATGGTCACCATCACGCGAACGGTGAAGTTAACGGATCTAAGAGAATGCTGTCCGTCGAGGAGCACAGTGCCTCAGTTAGACCTCCGTTAACTCGCGGAGAATCGCTGCCCGCGGTGTCTCTAGCACAATCCTTCACAGTAACCGCCGAGAGGACTTTCAAGCAGGAGAAGCACACAATAAGAACATCCTCGTTTGATTCCACAGCAGCCTTTAAACCTAATGGTGAGAATACTTATTAACAATATGCATTATTTTAGAATTCATCCTATGTTGTTGTTGAAGATGATGATGATACCAATAATAATAACAATCATATACGTGTGTAGATGGAATTGCATCCGGTTCAACGGTCTTTCTCCCGTACCGCGTGTGCATGTATGTGTGGGTATGCTGCATGCGTGTTCTACATGCTTGACGTAATGTTTATTTTTGTACAAACTGCGATGTTGAAATCGTGAGTTTTAATGTCACATAAACTCAGAAGGCCGCAACATCAGCGGACATATGAATCACACGAAAATTTAATCATTCATCCCCTCAGATGTTTGAATTCGTTAGCGTCTTCTTTTATATGCTGTTATTGCTGAATTTATGCAAGAAAAAAAAAACAAATAATAGCTTTCACTCGTTTCCGTGACGTAGAATCAGCAACAATGATGGCCGCAAAGAGATGGTCAAGCGGTTCGCGAGTTACCACAAAGTTAGAACCGGTTTTTTGTAATGACCGGTTCTCTGTTATTTCTTTTTTTTTTGTTATTTCACTTCTCTCCGTCTACTTATTCTCTTTATTGTTCTTTACGTCTGCTACGTCACGCGACGAGAGCCGGCTTTCACAACTCTTGAGCACCCATCCGTGTTCTTGGAACTTTTGTAAAACATCTACCTGACTGGTGCCCCCCTTTCTGAAGTACCGTTGCGACCGTACCCATTTTTATTACATCAGGTGCCTTGCCTAACGTAAAGTTCGCAGATTCTATTGTATCATCTATTATGTGTTTGGTGGGTCATCAGCAGATTATTTTTAACATATTGGTTCCCAACGCACATGAGAACTGCACGCAGCGTGCATTTCTGTGCGACTTTGAGAACAAAAGGCGTACATGTATGTATGGATGTGTGCATGTTCTGCTGCTCCGCCGTCAAACCAGTCTGGATTTGTGGCCTTGATCCTTCGAAAGCTTTCTCACGGTCTGAGATCAGTGCCCTGCCGTACACAACAAACGCAAGGGTTTATAATGCATCTGTGCGGAGTATGTGTGGGACTGAAACATCGCTTGCATTGTTCAAATGGGAATACTCCATTGCTTTCATACTATAGCAGTATATTAAATTCATAGCAGTATTTAAATTGCAATGACTTCTTTTTTGTTTACCTATAAATTGTTATCTTTCTTCTTCTTCTTTCGCTCTTTTTGATAAGTACATACTATAAAGGCAAGTTCTTTAGATAGATGTATTTTATCTATGAGTATGTTTATTCATGATTCCAATTGGACTTGAAATATCTAGTAATTTCAAAGCACAGCAACATTCATTTTCTTTAGTTTTGGTTTTCCATTATTTTGATTAATTCAATTCTCATTTTTTTTATTACTTTCGATATTTTTTATTTTTACATAAATATAACATCTGTTTTTTGCGGAAGGGCTCACCCCTCAGGTTTCCTTCTTTCCAGTCTAGACAGATGCGAATGTGTGTTTGTAATGCCTTGTTCTTTTTCGAAGCAGCTGTCTACTAAGGAAATATATAATATGTCTCGACAACTGCAACGGTATTTTTAAACACCTGTAAAGTAGGTGTATTTTTTTTCGAACACAATAGATTACGTTTATATAGGTAAATATTTTTTGGTAGATGGATTATAAACCCTATAACTTAACGTTAGTTTATTTTTGCTGTAAGTATAATTTTTACATTGGGCAAACATGTGCTGGTGTTGAAACTAGTCCTATGTCATCAATAGATTGTCATTAGTTCAAATTTCAGTATTACAAATCTTTAGTCTTTAGACTAATTTACTAATCTACATTGTTTGCTCATTAATCTTAATTAATTAAGATGTATTTAAAGTGTTTCTGGGTTTACGCGGGAATTTGCGGATAAAGTAACTTGTTGCTTTTTGGGGTAGGTCATGAGCCTGACGGAAACTTCTTGGTATGCGCAGCGTTGTTTCGTATAACGAAAAAGGGTTTTCGTGTCGGTGGCGTTGGTTGTTTCTCTTCATATTTGGTAGTTTGTTGGTGCGTGCGAGTAATTCATTAATGAATCGTGTGTGAGTGCGTAATTACAAAAACTGCGGCGTTGTCTGGTGGAGGCGAGGGTGCGGCAACACCGCGTGACGACGTCGCGAGGCCCCGTTAAAAATACGTAACGCATGAAGAGAAGGAAGAAAAAAGGCCGTCGCGGTCGCATTCCTCGTCGCGTCCGCACCGATCCGTTCCGCCGCCAGACGGCGCTCGCGGTTCCGAGGACGTCTCCGCCTCTTCCTCCTGCTGCCGTTCGCTACTAAAATTATCGTCCTGGTCGTTTATTCCTGCTGCCGCCCGCCGCCTCCTCTTGCCGACGCGCTACGTCACTCGATTGCATATCGAGGTCACGTGAACGCGGTCGCTGCGACGACGCGAGAGCTTGTTTGTAAATGTAACACACGTGATCTGCTGATGCGCTGATGACCGCCCCCTCGTTCCCCCCACACTCCTTACAGCACCGGTCATTTATTATTTGTTCCACATTTGCAATTTGTCACTTCATTTGCCTTTTAAATACATGCAAATGATTTCACTTTTGAATTGGAAATGCAGAACCGACCGCATTATTCAATTGGAGATTTATTTTGTGCCTCCTCCTATCGTCTTTGCGTCATAACAATTTTGATCATAGTATATATCCTTTGTCCTCTACCAACATTCGTGGGTAGCACGAGGCCTCTATTTTGTATCTATTATTCTATAAATTAAAGTGCAATGTTTCATTGTTGCATGTCTCCAGATCCTTTAACAATATTACTGCGCAATTTCGAACGGATGTTAAGCTCTAGTTAAGCTAAATTTTCATCAAATCTCACAAATAACATTTGTGTTTTTTTGCGCCATTACAATAGATCTGCTTATTTCTTATAAGTCATCACAATCTTCAACAACAGCATCAAGAACAAAACATAGCATTTTCTAAGCACTCATTTTTTATGCAAATTTGTAGGGTATGCAGCGCCTGTGTCTGTAGCTAACGCGAATGGGACGAATTCAAGTTCTCCCTTGAGCAATAGAACGGGATCTCCGCCTGAAAGTAATCCCGCAAGTGGTACTACCGTAGGACAGCAAACTACGTCCGGTTCAATCCAGAGTCCGATGGCGGGTCTTATATCCGTCACCGACACCCTTCCACCAGGAAGTCCGCGCTCTGCGGGCGGGAGTCCTCCGAGTACCGTCGCGCCCCGTTCTGCCTCCCGGGGCTCGCAGCACTCCCCGAACTCCTCAGGTAATTGTCCGCTGCAATTTTGTTAGAAAATCGATTATTTATTAATCGGATTTCTGTTCATAGCTGGAAGTTCTAGCAGTCGTCGTTCTTCCGGTTCTAGACATGTTTCTTCTACCACAGTTACGTCCACGGAGGCCGGCGCCGGTGCTCTTGGCACCACACCTGAGGTCATACCCACTGCTGGTACCGAGGGAGCAACGGCCACTGCGCCCACAGCGACGACCCTAAGATGTACCATATGCCAGGAGAGATTAGAGGACACGCATTTCGTTCAATGCCCCTCAGTGCCGCATCACAAATTTTGTTTCCCTTGCAGCCGTGAAAGTATTAAACGTCAGGGGGCTGGCCAAGAGGTACGTAATATCATCGCTTATAATCATTACAAAACTCAATAACAACATCTGTTACCTTCTAGGTGTATTGTCCAAGCGGCGACAAGTGTCCGTTATCGAATTCGAATGTACCATGGGCGTTTATGCAGAACGAAATAGCGACGATCCTTGGTGAAGACTTCAAGGTTAAGAAGGAACGCGAGACCTAAAAAACGCCGAAATGAATTGGAAAATGATGTTATAACCTTTGGCTCAATTTACTCTCGAATGTTGTCGAGTAAATTCTGTCTCGTTACAGAGAAGTAATTGGCAAAGTTGGCGAAAGTTAGTGATGATGATGGTTGGTTTAGTGATGGTCGATCGGGCTGAATAAAATATATCTATTTAAGAAAATAACGAAATGGAAGTAATAAAAAAAAAGATGGAAAATCTATAAAACGTGAACGAGGCTGTGTCGATTATTAGTTATTACATATATATTATATTCAGAACAAGGAAAATGAGAAAATAATTTCTTGGCTAAATGTCGCCGAAGTAATTGTACATAATGCAGTCAAAAACACAATGATTTTGTTTCAAATTGTTGTTTTGTGTCGTATTTTGTGAAATGGAAATGGAACGATGAGAGGTTGGTGCAATTGTATCATTGGGCACCCCTTTCAGTCGGTTTTAATTTGTTTTATTTTATTTAAATGCATTTATGGACTATTCGTTTAACCCATGTATATATTGTAAATAGATTATACAATAATGTTATAAATAATATAAGAACGTCGATTCTGAAATATTAAAGTGTACAAAGTATGTAATAGTTAAACACATAGGGTTTTCTTTATGATTTTTTGTTTGTTTTTTGTTTTAGAGGTAAATTGAATGTACGTACAACTATCATAAGTTAGGAGAACTATTCTCCACAGTTGTCTGTATAATGATTTATTTCTGAAATTTTATTTGAAAATTTTATAATATATAAAACTCCTTTTTGAAGCTGTAAATATTGTATATTCATCAGCTGAGATTTTTCTTTAAGTGCGACTTTATAAATCGAAATGCGATTTCAATTACTTTTTTTGATTATATATATTATTTTGTTTAGTTCATAAGTTTTATAATTACTTTATTTCAGCTTTTCAAAGTTATGAATTTCGTAGATTCATTTTTTTGTTTCATTTTTTTTTTGCTTCTTTAAATTTAATTTATGGATTGTAAACTTTGAAAGTAAAACTAGTCAAATCTTAATGGGGCGCCTTCAAGAGCGCCGCATCATAGGAACTCCAAAACTCGCTGGTAAATTATAAGAACGTTTTAAAAGTAATAATTAAAAGAAAATGTATCTTTTTTGACTAAAAGAAGGTGAATAACTTGTATATTTATCACACATTTTAAAATGTCCTCCCGCCCCACAATTTGTCCAAGGCCTTGCTATATGTTTTGACTCGTGTTACAATTGTTCACTTTTCTGAAGCATACATTGTACAAGGCCTTGTGTGTATATAAAATGATAATTAATAAAGAGAAAGTTGTGTATCTTAAGCCATTTTTCTCGAAGATAAACTGACCAACTTGTCAATATATAATATGTTGGATTTTTTTTTGTACAATTGTCATTTGTAAAAAAAATGTGAAAATCCGAATATATATGTATATGCTTCGGAAATTGTTATTTGGACGTTGAAATAGGGCTTGAATTTGAAATTTCTAAAGCGAACGGAAAAGATTCGAATTCGGCATAAATAACAAAGACAAACTTTGTCAGGAAATAAATAAAGCGCACACTAATAAATGTATTTTCGACAAATATTAGTCTGTTTTGTTTTTATCATTATATTTACTATATTGTAAAATAACAAAATATATTATAAATCAACTGACGTATTACTTTCCCTCCTCCAAAGCTTGTACAATCTTCTGCTGTTAGTTGATGTCAAATAAAAATATATGTGATTGAATTAGTTTCTTTATTTCCTGAAAATTTGACCTAAAAATCGAGACCATTAATTGATTTCCCCTATTTTCTTTTTGTTTCAGAAATTCACCGTGCTGCAAAGCGGCAAAAATTGCAGCTGAAAGGTATTGCACGAACGCTGAAGAAGGTCACACCAAACATCTTGATGATGACTACAAACAAGTTGAGAAGCTGCAGCGTCTTACTGATTATACTGAACAGCCAAAACTTAAAACTGACCAAAGTAGCAGTGAAGTATATTTAAAAACTATATCAGAAAGATCAGAGTCCGAGTCTACAAAGTTAGAAAATGTTCCCAACACTCAGAGCATTCCTGAAAGTGAGGTGATAGCTATCACAAAAGCGGTTAAAAAAATGGTAACAGCTCTGCCGAATCAAATAGATCCTCTTCATCGTTCAGTTCCTTGTCCAGAACCAATCCAAGTAACAAAACAGATTGAATGTTGCAAGCATATTCGTGAAATACCAGAACCGATAGCAGCCGCGCCTAAACCTGTCGTTTTATCATGCCAAAACGGTTCAGTAATAAACATTTCACCGTTTCCATTAAAAGTGGAACCGAAAACTGAATGTTGCAAGAATCAAAAGAAATGCTCCCCGAAATCTAGTAGTAACAGGAAGAGAGTTACTAAACCAAAAAGTCCCAGAGAAAGCAAAAAATCATTTAATCCTCCCTCTCCAGTAATTGTAGTTCCGATAATGAATTTAGATTTACCAGAATCTTCAGAATTGAAGAAGAATAAAAGAAATCGCATGCTGGAGCGATTAACTGTACAAAATATGCCGATAGTTGATATACAGAGGGAATTGGTCATTCAGAAGGTATTGCATATAAACATAATTCCTGAAGTTCCGCCGAAAGATTACACAATGGCGTCAAATAACATTTGCTATATTGAGTGTTCATCTGGAAAAGAAGTTAAAGAAGATTTAGATAGGAGTTTGCTCAGGGATGAAATTTCACGTAATATTAGTTTTATTGATGAAGCAAGAAAATCATCAAAATCTGTTCCGGTTAAAATGCCAAGCAAGGGTGAGGACGTTGTTAAGCGCATTGATGGCATAGCTGAAAGTATTAAAACGGATTTAAAACTCATACATCAGACTAGATACAAACCAGAACTCAACATGGTCGAAGAACTATTTATGAATATAAATCAGTCACCCAAAGAAAGTAAGGTAGATCAAGAGTACGATAAAAGTGATACATCTGTTCTGGTCTATAAGTATTCCGATGAACCAAAGTTAAATGAAAGAGAAGATCAAACCTTAAATGAAGAAGCTAAGAAGAAGCCATTAACGGAAAATGAAAATGTCGAAGCAAAAGATAAACAAACTAGGAACCAAAAGGAACCAAATTTAAATGAAAAAGAAGAAGAAGAAACCTTAAATGAAGAAATGTCATTAACGGAAAAAGAAAATATCGAAGAAATAGATGAACTACCATATGAAGAAAATGAACAGTCATTGATCAAAGACGTTATAGTTGAAGAAAGCCAATCCAAGGAAACAAAAAGTGGTCAATCAATAGAGGTTTCATTCACAGAGCCAGAATTGAGAGAATTCCAACAGGATGATGATTTCGAAATCAGATGGAGAGATAATAATTATAAAGACGACGATGATGATGACGACGATGAACCCGATATCTGTATTTGCCAAGGAGCATACGATCCACGTACAAATAGATTTCCATCTACCATATATGCAGTCGATGAATTGGTTTGCTTCTGCGAGGAAAAAATTGAAGCGGTGAAAGAGAAGGCAAATGAAAGCAAAATGAACCTGGAGTCAATTGTTTCATGTATAACGGACGAAATTGTTGAATCGGGTAAGGTAAAAACAACAAAAAAAGAGAAAAAATCAAAAGGAAAATCCGGTTGTTCCAAAATATTTAAACATAAGAACGTAGAGGATTACGATTCCGACCAATACGTCTTGGTCCATGATGTATCAGCTCAGGTATCAATAGATTCCATATCACAAAAACCTGTAGAACAGCAAGCCGTTAAATTTCACGATCATAACTTTGAATCATATGGCAACGCAAATTTTGATAGTTTAAAAAATAAAATGGACAAGAAACCAATTGATATAATAAAAAGAAAATCGCAATACATCTTCTCGACAATGGGAAGCATGGATCCGAAACAAAGAGCCTCGATGATCAAAAGAAAATCAATCGTAAGACGTGCTGATCATGGCAGCATAACATCCAGCATATACCCAGTTCACGTGGAGCTGGATTCGCCGGACGTGACGAAAATATTGGGACCGAAGAGTTTTAAGAGCTCGGAGTCAGTAATCTTATTGGATGAACTTATGCCGAAGAACAATCCCGTTGGTGATACGACTAGTTTACAGAAATATTACAAGCCATGTAAAGACGTTAAGTGTGTAAACGAGAATCCAGGAAGAAAATTGAAAGTGCAGAGGAATATTGCTACCGAAACTTTAGCAACGAACACTGACAGGAAAGATGAGAGTATTTCTGAAGGTGAAGTAAAACTCGGCGGGAATCTTAGCAATGGTGAATGTCCATCACCGAAAAAAAATACCAGCAAAGCAAGTACCAAAGGTAGTTCGAGGAAGACTGAAAGGAGTGAGAGCAGTCGTGGAAGGCAAGTGGTGCACAATAAAAATTGGGTTTCTTTCTACTATTCAAAATCATCCCCTTCTGGAGTACCGCACATTAATTCACGTTCTTCCAAATGAATATTGATAAATTGAAAAGAAAGTGTCATATTTAATAAAAACAAATAAAATATGATAGTTTATTTATAACATAAATTATTTCAGAAATTCGTATACTTATATTTATGTTATTGACAAATACATGTATAAGTAAGAAAGCTATAACATTTCTGTAATTATTATTTTTGTTTGTGTACGTAGAAATTATTTAATAATAAAAAATATATATATTCGTAATTATTATTACTTAATTTCATTCATTTTATTTAAAAACAATGTACAAATAATTAATAGCAATACTAAGAAAACAATAATGCTGCATATGAAAATGTGATCATACTTACACACAGTTCAAATATATAAGTTGTAACAAACAAAGAATTGAAGTGAATAGTTGGAGTTGTGAAAGTATGAACATTAATAACCAAATAAAGTTGAGGGCATTAACAAATTTCATTCTCTAACCCGTCAATAATTTAAAAATAAGATAACACATTAATTAATTTATACTAAAATATTACATTTCTGATTAAGATAAACTAATTAACATTGCTTTGAATTTCGGCTAAATATTAATGAAACTTTTATTAAAGCAGGGAAACAGCATTTGAAATTATTATGTAATTTTTGATAATATGGTTGCCTACTAATACATTAAAAAAATGAATTTGTTTCAAGAAACAACAATATTTTTGTCTTAATTTGTTATTTCGAAATTGGATAAAATTATAGTGTTTTTTTTTTAAATAAAAGAGATTTATATTGATTAATATTGATATAAATCTCGTTTGCCCTTATTTGTACCCCCTTTAGGGTTTATTGGCCACCACAAATTTTCGTTGGTTTTTGAGGATCGAATCAACTTTTTCGTATCGGATTTTCGTGATACAGGCGACTATAACAAAAAAATATAGGTTTGTTCTTAAGGTAGTTTGTATTAAGGATATAATTATAGCTATTTAATAATTAAATATTATGAACATAATAAATTGTGTATAATAATATATGGTGAAAACTTTGATAACTGTAGTTTACTATTAACGAAATGGCGTCGGTTGGCACGTGGTGCCATCTAGTACAAAAAGAGTCTTGAAATCGAACACAGCTTTGACACGATCGTGTGTACTATCTTGGCAGGTTCAGTGTTCGTGTAGTGGTAGTTGTTTGTTGATTAAAATATGGCTGCAGTGTACAAACGAAATCTGCTGATAGAACGCCAAAATAAAGGTCATAATATGGACAAAAGTTTGCGGAGCGCGTAGGAGCGTGGGCGGAAACAGTGGCCGTTTTGTCTTCGGATTTATTTCCATCTTATAATTTTGTTTGTAGCCTTATTTTCGTTTTCCGATCCAACCAACTAACTACTCTATACTATGTCCCGTCGTGTCCAATGGTCTTAGTGCTGGGGCTTTTAATCGCATTCGTGCAGTTTATTGACAGTGTTTTGTTTGCCTAATTTCCATTGACCACCTGGTTTTTGTTGCCCTTGGATGTGGCTCAATTTCCAATGAGAATGCTATGGATGCACCAAACACTACATCGTATTCTGTAAGTAAGTTTTATTCGAGAATTATAATATTCGTCGTTCCACTATGATCCAACTATCTTTTCCATTCCCAAAGTTCAGCACCTTTCTGCACAGTTTACCGATGCATTTCGATAATTGGGGAATACCCAAATTCCATTTACCCATATTTTCTGTTACTGATATCAATTTCCAATAACAAACTCTTATCATATAATTGCATGCACACTAAAAGTTTCTGCTTTTAGTTTTCCAATCAAATTATTGCACGTGCATTTTTCTTGCTTACATGTAAAAATAAACAACAATTATTAATGTAACTGTAAATTTAAAAAAAAATGCTCAATAAAAGCGCAGTTGCATTTAATTAAAATTATTAATACTTACCATAACTTATGTTTCTGATCATTTATTATTACATTTGTATTCATATATTTTATTGATTTTGCTTCAAAAGAAACGCTGTGCCTGACGTTTACAATGTATATATTTATTTCCCTTAATTCTTATTCCATTTCTATTAAAATGTCTAAATCAGTAGAATTTTTAATTTATTGTATCAAAGAAAAAAATATAAACAAAAATAATTAAATACATTTCTTATAAATATTTAAAAAAAAATATTTTTGTCTTTTGTGAAATCTCTAAACGATCATATTATTCCGTTATTTGTTTCATACTTATTTCAAAATTATAGCGTATTGTTGTATTTATAATTATCAGATATTTAATTATTTAAATTTTTAGGAAATCCTCTGGAAGCATTTATGAATGAAATTACTAATTTAGCCAACTTTTCAACTGTATACATACTTATAAAGTACTTATAAAATATATTTCTTACAAATAATATAAAAATATTAGTCAATGATTTTTAGTATTCTTAAATATGTTGATGTCATAGATATTCAAGATCGAGTTTAATGATTCAGACAATTCTTGAATCAAATGAATCAAAATCAGTGGATCATAATCAGCTAAAAACACTTTTATGAAATGTTGCAAGATAATAAGTCATTTGTAGAATTGTTGTTCGTCGTTCTGTAAAATTGACTCTATGAATGGACTTTACACCGCAGTAAATACCACTATCAGCATTATCAATAAATTAAGAGAGAAAGAAAGGAAAATTATTGTTTGCATTCCTATCTATTGATCACTGCATTGTAACTACTTAGACTTTTAATTACAATGCTAAGGGTAACTTAAAGATGAAAATGAAAGGATTTTTGGAAATAAACTCGAATTATTATGTTTCTTTCTTATTAATTAATGTAGTTCACTCAGCAAACTATTGTTTGTATGAATACAAACAGTTTGTTTCTAGATTATTGATACGGTAAACAAAATGAGTTGCTGTATAAAAGGTATATAGTTTGTTTTTGAGCGGTATCTATAAAATGATTACTCGGACTTAGGACGTACGATTGTTCTAGAAACAACAGTGCTGTGTAATCTACAAAGTTTTCACTAATAATTAGATTATACGTTGCTATTGTACATATTGTTATTAGGTAATGAACAACAATAGAGAAGTACATAAATTATGTTTCAATTTAAGTTTGCAATTGATAAGATAATTTCATATATAACGATTCAGCATTATTTATAGAACGAATTGGAATTTCCGATGTTTCCCAAAAGCATTTTGTTCTCATGCATCTGGAACTTATTACATGCAATTAAAATGTAATTTCAAATAGATATTTTTGCCAAGTAAACCACGCTGCTTCATCTAATGATACATAATCATCTACGTATCCTCAGATAATTAGCTTATTTTAATCAATGACAAAATATAAGTACACTCGCATATATTTTTTTTTTACTAAACTGTAGTCTTTTTATCAATTTGAAAGAAATGTTTGTGTTTGGTGCAAACATTGCGGTCAATAGACTACTATTTACTACTGTTTGTATTATATTACTATTATATTGGGTGAAGTAAAATGTTCTGAGCGTTTTGTCCCATACATCAAGAGCAGTCTTATACAATGCTTCCAAACGGGTTTCTTTCTAATCTTCAGTTCCTGGGCAATGGAATAAATGTTCGCATGTCGATCCGACTCGACGATTTCTATAATTTTATGAACATTTTTGACGATTGGCCTACCAGAACATGTCTCATTTTCGACGTCAATATTACCAGAACGGAAGCGTTGAAACCAAGCATTCGATACTATATTGGGTCCACAAACAACACATTTTTTTTGCCGCCTGTTCCGCTTTTCCTCTTGGTCGTAGTAGTACTGAAGAATGTATCGAATTTTCTCTTCGTTATGTCACCTTTAAGTATAGCATGACGAGATGCAACGTATACATCGTGAAACTCACTAAAGCCAACTAACGAAAAAGGCTCAGGAATTTTTACTTCACCTAATATTATTATATTACTTACTGTTAATATTATTTATAAAATATTTGTATCTTGTTATACAATATTTTATTTATTTTTTAAACATAAACTTGTCTGTATTACTTATTATATTAGCTATTAAAATCAAACTTATTTGCAGGTAATATAACTATTATTAAAGTATTTGTACATAAGTATTGGAGTTACAAGTTCGAAAAGAAAATAAGTTAAGAAAAAAGAAGAATTCACCAAAAAAGTAATTCATTATAACTTCGATACAAGCTATAAACCAATCTATAAATCAGAATCCCATAACAGTAATGGGGAAATTAAACTGTTTGCAAAGGAAACAATAAAGATTCAATTGCAAAGTAATAACAGCGCGATGTTGCAATGATTCTATATTTAGAGAGAAGTTAATTGTTACCACGTATATGAATTAATAAAAAAAATCATTTGGATCCCGTTGGAGCGCTAAATCATGTGTTCTGAGTTACATAAACATAGCTAGTAGAGAATAAAAGAAAGTTTGAAAAAAATGTGTCTGCGGAGTCTGATAATTGAAGCAATTTTATGACTCAATTTATTATGATTAAATGCAAATACTCGGAGGTAAATGTGACCATTACTTTTACGCGCATAAAACTGTATGCTCTTGCTCTCCTCTAAGCAGACCGTAATGGTTTAACATAAAATATCTATTAATAAATCATAATGTTCATTTCTAAATATCACCCTAAAAGTGGTGATACATGGAAATGGTGTGGCGCAAAGAGAAGTTGAATTATTGTTCGAATTGATTTATTCTATATAATATGTTCATTGTTGTGGACATTCACCAAGTGAAATTTCATCACGGTGTAATATTATATTTCCATAAATAAAAAAAGAAATATTTGTTCTGTGTGTAATATTTAAAATTAGATTTATCTAAGATGATGGTTTTTTTTTTTAATCAAAATTACATCGCGATAAGAGCAATTATCTTTAATTGCTGTGGACGATTTGCATATGTGCTAAGAATATATGGTTTTCTGCAGTGCGAGTAATATCCTTAAACAAATTACCGAGGTTTATCTGGTTGAGACCTTGCATGCCTTAGTATAATTCTACGAGTACGAGATGGTTCAATATTTTAAATCACGCAGTCTCGGGTAAATTCTGCAGTTTCGCTCGGTTTAAGATTAAGAAATTTCTTGAATGTATTATTTCATTATTGGATATCGTATTTCGGATAAAATAAAACTTATTTTTTTTTGTAAATAATAGGGAAAGTTGTGTTTGTGTAATTTCTTCATAAATTTGAATAAATATGAAAATATTGACATTTCTATTAGAAATAAATTTTGTTTCGATTTGTATTTTTTTTTTGTGCTACTTTTAAATATTTACTTGTTACTGTTTATAAAACTATAAACGTGTTCGGTGCGTGGGATTCTCAGATAAGTGAAGATAAATATGTTTGGAATGCTTAAATTATCTTATCTATCTGATGTAAGCTTAATGAAAATGTTTCGGATGCCTTTTTTATTGTCGTAGTTTTTTAGATATCGTTCTATAAATAAATGATGATGTGATTATTTTTTGCATTGTTGCAGGTGAGAGCAAGGAGTAGTCCACATGGAGGGACTGCAGCTGTAATTGACAATTAGATAGAGCCAGGTACGAAGAAGAGCTCGACGGATGCCTCCGTTGGTTGAGCATCATTATCATTCTTTTGAGTCCATGGAATCAAATCGAAATGGAGACATGGTCAGCTCGGTGCACAGTGAGCGTACACAGGGAATCCGGAACCCCGTCACTCCTTCCCTCTACAACGCCTTGTACGACTATGAGGCCCAGGGCGAGGATGAGCTGTCCCTTAAGAAGGGACAAATTGTTGAAGTGTTATCGGTGGACGCTAAGATTTCGGGCGACGAGGGTTGGTGGACGGGAAAGATCGGTGATAAGGTAGGGATATTTCCGTCGAACTTTGTGGCGGAGGATGACCCAATGGACCGTGTGAACTCGATAATAAGTGATATACATCCCATCGAAATTAATTTTAACGAACTCGAGCTGGAGGAAGTGATCGGCGTCGGCGGTTTCGGGAAAGTGTACAGAGGCTTGTGGAACAACCGGGAAGTGGCGGTCAAAGCGGCAAGGCAGGATCCGGATGCGGATATCTCATTGACCCTTAAGAATGTCGTCAACGAAGCGAAGCTCTTTGAACTCCTGGACCACGAAAACATCGTATCCCTCGTGGGCGTCTGTCTTCAAGAGCCCAATATGTGTCTTGTGCTTGAGTATTGTCGCGGTGGTTCTTTAAACAGGGTGCTTGCCGGGAGGAAGATCCGGCCTGACGTACTCGTCGATTGGGCCATACAAATCGCACGAGGCATGGATTATTTACACTGCGGGGCACCTATCTCTCTTATTCATAGAGACTTGAAAAGTTCAAATGGTGAGATACTCAAACAAATACGTATTTATTAATCTTATTTATAAAATTGTTAGCAAATAATAACTGTAGTTTTATTAAATGTACACATACAAACATGGTGAAAGTAAAACGATAGGTATATAATATTAATCAAATGGAATGAAAGAAATACTTGAGACATCGCTATATAAAGAAATGTTTACATTAATTTTAAAAAAGGAACTTCCTTTGAACAGACCAATTCATTAAATACTCTCCAACTTGAATAATGAAAGAAATGAGACTAATTTATTGCAAAAAGCGAGTTTATTCAAACCACTTAAATTAAACCCTCACTTCACATTACTTTGATCAAAACAAAGGTAAGTGAAGGCACTAAACATTATCAATTTCTTTGCAAACCGATTACATTGTTTTAAAAAATGCGATTTGGATTTCAGTTCTCGGTTCACACATATAATGGGGACTCATTAAATAAGTTACAAGAGATTTCGTTCCGAGTAATAAAGTTTTATGGAAGTTCCTCCTCGACCGTATCTTGGATTACCCAAGTTATAAGCATTTCTCTTATTGTCACTCGAAAATCGAACATCCCCTCGGATCCAAACCGCAAATCGATAAGAGCAGCTTTATTTTTAGCCGCGTCCAATTTATAATCGGGACACAGATAAGTTTTAGTATGTAAGCGTTCAGATGAGGGAGGGAAAGGGAAGAAAGAGGCAGCAGCGCTGAAGAATTCTTCAATTGGATTCAACAAAAGGTAGCTGCTATTTTTAGTCGGCGCTTTCCTCCGCGCACGCATACAATTAAATCTCGCAGCCTCCACTTTGCATGTGTTCTTACTATGAACAAATAAATTATTAATTAGCAACATTACAACAGCTAATAAATATTTGATGTGGATGTGTATTGCATTGATCCATTTCGACCTAGTTTTGCCAACCGTACACGTATACAAAATGTTTGCCCGAAAACGAAATTTACTGTTCCTTCTCTCACTGTATTCCTCTGCGAGCCATAAATACGAACCAATTTCATTACTTATTCTCCAATTTTATAGCAGAGACGAAAACGAGATGGCGATAGAAAAGAGCACGAAACTACGCTACGACATTCGTGTAGGAAAACCGAGTAGGCATTTACTTAATCACAATTCCAATTACACTTTTGTTTATTATTTTTTTTCGTATTCTCCTTCTCTTTTTGTCCCTCTCAGCCAATATGAATTTTAAATAATTCATGCGGGGGACGAAGCTAGTATATTTTTATTAAATGTCCCACACGGTGTGTGTGCATAGAGGAAATTGGAACGAAAATACACTTTTTTCGGGATAATTATTTAGGCTCGAGCCCCAAGCTACGATATTAAAATTAATTTGTCACCATGCTATTCACACTTTATTTGCTCCTCGCACGAGTAAATCCTCATTTCGCTTCACTCCTCTTTTTTTTTCGCAACTCCCTCTCTGTGCGTTTCCACATGATATACATCGCCAAGCTTTTGAGCCCGAAACATTCCTTTGAGGAAACTGACAAAAAAAAACAGCCATCCGTTCTATAATTATTTACGTAAAAATAGTTTTAGACGTTTTAAGGAATAATCTCAGGAATTCCAATCGTAAATCCGATTCATTTTACTTGCACCTATTTCTGGCCAGGCGTTTCAATTATTTTATTTGTGTCGCCTGTTCCCCTGACCAAATTTATAAGTTCACATAGCAAATACATAATTTATATTTAGTATACGGGCAGCTCTTGGAATTATTTATTACATCCGTATCTGTTTTGTATTCAATGATTATTGAGGCTAAATCATCGTGTCAAAAATTTCGGAAATCTATTGAACTTTCTTTTCCAAAATCACAATTATACATTGTTTAACACGTTTATTCAATATAAGTGGGGTAAATTCAATTTGATCGATAATCAATTAATATTTGAGTGGTACTTGGAATGTTCTTCATAAGCAATTACAATATAATACCTATAGCCTGTATTTTTTTTAAGTTTTAAGAGCATTGATCGTATTGTTGAGGATGAGTTTCAGTATAATAGAAGTAGATCATGTTCAAAGATATATTTTCTTTTCATTTAATATTCCTTGTACAATTTTTAAATGTGCATTAATACAGGAAAGTTATCACTCTTTAAATATAGATATAAACAAGAAACACTGCAAAATGAACATTATTTTGTTGAGTTTATTCCTTTTGGTAATGCTTCATTCTGTAGATATTGTGATGCAATTAATTGACAATTTGAATGTCTGTTTACAATTGTTAGGACCTACTACACTACCTCGTGGAACATCTGTTTCAACAATATAAATTTGTAAAACAAATCTCAATGTTATCGATAAGTTCTTTGGTCGATGCTTATCCACTTGGTATTAGTTAAAAAAAAAAATTTCGTGTTAGATAACTTTCTTAGACTTGTTTAAGCCGAATTAAGCGTACTATTTGACACGCTATGTAATAACTATAATAACGTAATTATTAAGGCGTACACATGTGGTTAAGTTAGATCGATTTGATTGCGGCTTATATAAGGTAACTAAATTTGATAAATAACAAAAGATCATTGATCTTTGATAGTTGATTGACCTGCCAATGTAGCATGCATGTCAATGTCAATATGCAGCTGCAATAATTGGTTGCGTTCATACTATATGCAGAATGTTATATCATAGTAAAGTTGCTTTAATGGGAAATAGTATCTCGTGCAGCATTATTTAACTGCTCGAAGAAAGTGGTTTAATTAGCCCGATGTCGCAAATACTGAACATAAGTATGCCGTTACAAGATACTAATCTTCTGAAAATTGCATTTAAACTTGGATGTATCCTGAATCTGCGACTGAAAGTTTAAATAGTTTTGGGCTATGATACTAACATAAGTTGTGTTTAATTACATTAAATTACATTTTATGGTAAATAAATACTATACACACAATACTTAACACACAAAGAAAAGGTGAACAGTTTTCTTTTTTTCATCTTTGGCCGTTGACCTTTCGGCATATGGTCAAAAAAATTCCGCCGGATTAAAGAACCAAAGTAAACATTTCGTTCTTATTTGTACTTGCTTTTAGCGTCTCGTTCGAATTCTGCCCAAATAATGATTTATAAATAAATATAGTGAATTGATTCGCTGCGGCATCCACAAATCGCGCGTCGTAAAACACAGTTTAAGCCTCGCACGGCACAAACATGCATCAAAATTATTGCTATTTAAGACCACGCCTGATCCCTAAACTAATTCCCATTCGTATTTTAATCACGATGTTATAGCCCGCACCGGCCTTCGGCTATTTGCTTTTCATTTATTTCAATTCAACGCAAACACGGAGAGTGATGATTTTTCGTTTCGGTTGCGTGGAAAATCTGTCTAATGTAAATAAGTAATTGTCTTGTATGATAACATTTTACCGTTTATATTATAAAGCAATTAACATGAATATTCAGCCATGCAAATCTGTGCAAAAACAAAATCCTATAATTTATTGCCAAAGTTCCAACTATATAAGTCGGTATTAAGATACATGCGAACCGAAGCCATAAAACATTTCAGCTTCAACTATCATCGGCAGGGAATTATTTCCTGCGGTCATTTATTTTTCGCAATTAAATAAAGCTATTGATTTTATTAAAATCCGATCATCGATTAACGAAGCAGTTAAAGACTCGCTGCTCACCTCTTTTGTCAGCGCTCGTGTTCACTCGCAAGGTCAATCAACTTTTCAGCTCATCCATGTTTCGTGACGTTGGATTACCTAAATTATAGATTACTATAGAATCAATGTATTCAATGCACCCTTTCTCATTTGTATCTATATTGTTACATTAGACTACTTTTTACTAACTTACAATAGAACATTTGAAAATTTTTGTGTTTTTATAAAAAAATATATCTTTATGAGAAACAAATGGATTCAATTTATGCATTCCTTTACGAACTCGTTGATAATAATGTAATGTATCTCATTTTGTAATAAATAAGTCTCAATGTATTGATTTAATGTGACATTAGTTCATATAACATAGAGACCGGAGGGAGGAAAGAGCGAGTCGATATTCTCCTGTTTGAGGGAAACGGAAACTATTTTGTGTATATTACTACATATAGATATGCCCGATATTTTTTTTGGAAAAAGTATTTTGAAACTGGTTACTTATCCACCTTTAGACTCTTATCAAGTAACCAATATATTAGGAAGTCTAAAACATGCATACAAATGATAAAATGTGCACACATCGATGATTTAAGGCCATCCCTTGCACCAAAAAAAAAACGACAGATGTTTGTTTGAATGGAATGTTGCTGATAGTCTGATCCCGGTAGGTGATGACCATTATTTTCTGATCCTTCTGCTGCATTAACATACCAACAGCTGTTATTACTATTTTGAATAATTACGTTATTTTTGAAAGAACACTATAATTTTATTATGTATCCTTCTGACGCACTGAAATAGTAAAATTCAATTGTGTAAACAGTGCAGATATTGATTGTATAATCAATTTTTTTTTGTTATGGAACTCATCCTGCTCTCCTATTTTGTGAGCACTTGAAATGTTCATTAAAATGAGTAGCGTTTGAAAACAAGTTCAATCAATTAGCACATAAATCAGATGTAAACGGAGCTGAAAATAATTGAAAAATTCAATAGAACCGATTGTGTGTTCGACGGGGGAGAGAATGAGCAAACAGAACTCTGGATTTTTATTGGAAAGGCCTCTCTCACTGACTGTCTCTTGGGTACGTTGAAATATTAAATAGGAAAACATCGAATTCAAATATATTCAAATTGTTTTATCGCATAACGCAACCCGAAAATGGATGGATCAAAAATAAACTTTACCAGCAATCGCTTTACAATACATGCATTTACATCGTAGGAAATTCGCATTGCAAATTCAATTTATTTTAAATAAGAAATTGCATTGGGTGTAATGAACGGAAATTGATTACATTATAGACATTAAGGTAACCTGTTTTCATATTTTGTAATAATACTTTTGA